GCCCAGATGGCTGGTGTGGGGAGACCAGGGCAGAGATGGGGGCTGGGGGTGAAGAGAGAGAGGACACCCTAGATGTGAACCCGAGGTGGGGGCTTCTGCCTCCTCAGGCCAAGGCCCCACCCAACCCTACCCTGAGTCTGGTGGCGCATCTAGCCAGGTTGCTGGGCTCTGCACTGGGCTTTCCCACAGCCTCCTAGGCACCAACATTCCACAGGCAGAAACAAGACTCTGGGGGGCTCCCAGGGCAGGTCAGTGAGCCAGGCTCCTCCCCCCAGCCCCTGGGGAACAGGGTGAGAAGCCAGGAGTAATCATAGATACTGTCAATGCCACAGGCAGGTGACAGTGCTTTTCTGACTGCCCCGAACTGACCACTGACCTCACAACATCCCTATGAGGCACAGAATAAAATCATTCACGTTTTACACGAAGATGGGGAGGATCTGAGACCAGTCTGCAAGGATGGGGAGAGCCAGGTCTCGGAAGCCCCTCGCCCTGAGTCAGGCGGCCTAGAGACACTCCAGTCATTTCCCCTGCCCCTCCTCCAACACCCTGCAGCCAGCTGGGGGCATCACAGTGCCCAGGGCGGCCCCAGGTGGCAGGCGTGCCCAGGAAGCCAGGCCAAGAGAGCCGGTCAAATCCTGACACTGCTGTAATTAGGGAGGAAAATGCACCTGGAAACAATTCAAGAAAATGCAATTCATATTTCACTTGTTCTTAAATTCATACTTTTGAGAACCAGATACTCTGAAAATGAGGGTTTTCTTAAAGAGAGGTATGAGCACATTTTAATTAAAACACATCCTTTAAGATATTTTATTATTAATTTGAGCAGTAGAGTTGCTTCCTCTTCTGTGGTTGAAATGGGATATTTTCCTCCCTGATTATGTTGCTGAACGCCATTTGCTCCTTGCCAAAGGCGACGGTGTCAGGACCAGAGATGCAATTCGAGGAAACCAGAGCACAGCTGGAGCGTCCGGTGTAAACGATTAAGGACTTTACTGAAAGGTTGGCGGTTTGAACCCACTCTCTGAGCCACCTTGCAAGACAGGCCTGGAGACCTACTTCTGAAAGATTACCCAAAACCCAAACCACACACACTGCCTGTGAGTCTATTCTGACTCATAGCCACCTCCATAGGGTTTCCGAGACTGTAAATATTTACAGAAGAAGATTGTCTTATCTTCCTCCCACAGAGCAGCTGGTGGGTTTGAACCATTGACGACCTGTTCAGCACCAAATGCTTTAACCACCGAGCCACCACTGCTCATTCACAGATAATGCAAACACCGTGGAGCAGTTCTACTCTGCACATACGAGTTGGAACCGACTTGACAGCAGTCACAACAATGAAAAACCTGGGAGAGGCGGGCCCAGCAGCAGGGCTGGGGTCGGGTTCGGGGCTGGTGGTGGCCTGTGGCTCTGCTGGTACCAGGAGCCACCACTGGGCCACCCAGTCGCCAGTTTGGTCTGTGGTTAGCACAGGTCCCCGTGTCCCGGGCCCACCACGACACCCACCCATATTGCGGCTCCAGGAAAGGGGGAGGAGGCACCCTCTGGGCAAAGGTCTGCCAGCTTTGCAGATCGAGGCCAAGGACCCACATGCTATCCTGGGATAACCTCCCCATCACAGGGCAAGGCTGTGTGCAAGGCAGGTGGACGTGGGTGGGGCAGA